GTGCATATAACATCAACATAAATAACCTAGGCTCGGATGCCACTGATGGGTTTCGTAGTAATTTCAAAAAAATTCCTACGCACACGCAAGATCATGTGATGCATAGCAACGAGAGGGGAGAGTGTTGTCTACGTACCCACGCAGACCGACTGCGGAAGCATTGCCACGACATAGAGGAAGTAGTCGTACGTCTTCACGATCCAACCGATCAAGCACCGAAACTACGGCACCTCCGAGTTCGAGCACACGTTCAGCTTGATGACGATCCCCGGACTCCGATCCAGCAAAGTGTCGGGGAAGAGTTCCGTCAGCACGACGGCGTGGTGACGATCTTGATGTACCACAGCAGCAGGGCTTCGCCTAAACTCCGCTACAGTATTATCGAGGAATATGGTGGCAGGGGGCACCGCACACGGCTAAGGAATAGATCACGTGGATCAACTTGTGTGTTCTAGGGTGCCTCTACCTCAGTATATAAAGGACCAAAAGGGGGGAGGCTGGCCGGCCACAAGGGGCGCGCCAGGAGAGTCCTACTCCCTCCGGGAGTAGGATTCCCCCCCCCCCAATCCTAGTTGGAATAGGATTCCTCGGGGGGGCGAAGAGAGAGAGGGGGCCGGCCACCTCTCCTAGTTCTAATAGGACTAGGGGAAGGGGGGAGGCGCGCAGCTCACCTTGGGCTGCCCCTTTCTCCTTTCCACTAAAGCCCACTAAGGCCCATATGGTTCCCGGGGGGTTCCCGTAACCTCCCGGTACTCCGGCAAAATCCCGATTTCACCCGGAACACTTCCGATATCCAAACATAGGCTTCCAATATATCAATCTTTATGTCTCGACCATTTCGAGACTCCTCGTCATGTCCGTGATCACATCCGGGACTCCGAACTAACTTCGGTACATCAAAATGCATAAACTCATAATATAACTGTCATCGTAACCTTAAGCGTGCGGACCCTACGGGTTCGAGAACAATGTAGACATGACCGAGACATGTCTCCGGTCAATAACCAATAGCGGTACCTGGATGCCCATATTGGCTCCTACATATTCTACGAAGATCTTTATCGGTCAGACCGCATAACAACATACGCTGTTCCCTTTGTCATCGGTGTGTTACTTGCCCAAGATTCGATCGTCGGTATCCAATACCTAGTTCAATCTCGTTACCGACAAGTCTCTTTACTCGTTCTGTAATACATCATCCCGCAACTAACTCATTTAGTTGCAATGCTTGCAAGGCTTAAGTGATGTGCATTACCGAGAGGGCCCAGAGATACCTCTCCGACAATCGGAGTGACAAAACCTAATCTCGAAATACGCCAACCCAACATCTACCTTTGGAGACACCTGTAATGCTCCTTTATGATCACCCAGTTACGTTGTGACGTTTGGTAGCACCCAAAGTGTTCCTCCGGCAAATGGGAGTTGCATAATCTCATAGTTATAGGAACATGTATAAGTCATGAAGAAAGCAATAGCAACATACTAAACGATCGGGTGCTAAGCTAATGGAATGGGTCATGTCAATCAGATCATTCAACTAATGATGTGACCTCGTTAATCAAATAACAACTCATTGTTCATGGTTAGGAAACATAACCATCTTTGATTAACGAGCTAGTCAAGTAGAGGCATACTAGTGACACTTTGTTTGTCTATGTATTCACACATGTATTATGTTTCCGGTTAATACAATTCTAGCATGAATAATAAACATTTATCATGATTATAAGGAAATAAATAATAACTTTATTATTGCCTCTAGGGCATATTTCCTTCATGACTCTAGTGCAAGTGGGAGACTGAAGGAAATATGCCCTAGAGGCAATAATAAAGTTATTATTTATTTCCTTATATCATGATAAATGTTTATTATTCATGCTAGAATTGTATTAACCGGAAACATGATACATGTGTGAATACATAGACAAACAGAGTTTGACTAGCTCGTTGATCAAAGATGGTTATGTTTCCTAGCCATAGACAAAGAGTTGTCATTTGATTAACAGGACCACATCATTAGGAGAATGATGTGATTGACTTGACCCATTCCGTTAGCTTAGCACTTGATCGTTTAGTTTGTTGCTATTGCTTTCTTCATGACTTATACATGTTCCTATGACTATGAGATTATGCAACTCCCGCTTACCGGAGGAACACTTTGTGTGCTACCAAACGTCACAACGTAACTGGGTGATTATAAAGGTTCTCTACAGGTGTCTCCGAAGGTACTTGTTGGGTTGGCGTATTTCGAGATTAGGATTTGCCACTCCGATTGTCGGAGAGGTATCTCTGGGCCTACTCGGTAATACACATCACTTAAGCCTTGCAAGCATTGCAACTAATGAGTTAGTTGCGGGATGATGTGTTACGGAACGAGTAAAGAGACTTGCCGGTAACGAGATTGAACTAGGTATTAAGATACCGACGATCGAATCTCGGGCAAGTAACATACCGATGACAAAAGGAACAACGTATGTTGTTATGCGGTTTGACCGATAAAGATCTTCGTAGAATATGTAGGAGCCAATATGAGCATCCAGGTTCCGCTATTGGTTATTGACCGGAGACGTGTCTCGGTCATGTCTACATAGTTCTCGAACCCGTAGGGTCCGCACGCTTAAAGTTTGATGACGGTTATATTATGAGTTTATGAGTTTTGATGTACCGAAGGTAGTTCGGAGTCCCGGATGAGATCAGGGACATGACGAGGAGTCTCAAAATGGTCGAGACGTAAAGATCGATATATTGGACGACTATATTCGGGCATCGGAAAGGTTCCGAGTGATTCGGGTATTTTTCGGAGTTATAGGAATACGGAGGAAGAAGTATATGGGCCTTATTGGGCTTTACGGGAGAGAGAGAGAGGCAGGCTGCGCCCCCCGATGACTAGTCCGAATTGGACTAGGGGGAGGGGCGGTGCCCCCTCCTTCCTTCTCTTCCCTTTTCCCTTCCTTGTCCCCTACTCCTACTACTTGGAAAGGGGAGGAATCCTACTCCCGGTGGGAGTAGGACTCCTCCAGGGCGTGCCATAGGGGCCGGCCCTCTCCTCCTCCTCCACTCCTTTATATACGGGGAGGGAGGCGCCCCTTAGAGACACAACAATTGATTCCTTGGATCTCTTAGCCGTGTGCAGTGCCCCCCTCCACCATAATCCACCTCGGTCATATCGTAGCGGTGCTTAGGCGAAACCCTGCGTCGATAGAACATCATCATCGTCACCACGCCGCTGTGCTGACGGAACTCTCCCTCAAAGCTCGGCTGGATCGGAGTTCGAGGGACGTCATTGAGTTGAACGTGTGCATAACTCGGAGGTGTCGTGTGTTCGGTGCTTGATCGGTCGGATCGTGAAGACGTACGACTACATCAACCGCGTTGTGCTAACGCTTCCGCTTTCGGTCTACGAGGGTACGTGGACACACTCTCTCATCTCGTTGATATGCATCACCATGATCTTGCGTGTGCATAGGATTTTTTTTGAAATTACTACGTTCCCTAACATAGCCATCGCGGAGAAGGACGTGGAAGCCTTGGTGGTGTGGCGCGGAGGCTTCCCGCAGGACATCGTCGACGAGCGCCAGTCTACAAGCAAAGGAGGTTGGAGAGGGACGCGAGGAGGAGGGAGCGAGCCGCCTATCGGGAGGACAAGCGTTCGCGGAAGCAGGCAGCTCAATTGAAACTGGAGCGACGAGAAACGGCGGGTTGGGACTTTGATGACGAGGCGTATGCTGACGCCTACATTCAAACGTCGGAGGAGAACATTACCGAGTCAGAGTCAGAAAGCGACGAGTAGTGGTCTTTTCTTTTATCTGTGTAGCTAGAACTATCTATATATCCATTTTTATCTGAAAAAATGGCCGGCGGCGTCGGCGACGTAGCAGACGGGCGAGGGTGTGAATCCAATGTGCCACCGACCAGCGGGCCCGGTGAGGAAAGAGGGCGAGCGCGCGCATCCGTCTTGTGTCCGCGCCAACGCAAATCAGGCTCAAAAATGGGCCGGGAATGGGTCGGCAGACGGACGAAAGCGAACGCACGTCCGTTTGGGTCGGTGCGTTAGGGCAGCTTTTTTGTCCGCGCCGACCCAAACGAACGGCCGCGGACGAAATGAATCACCCCATTGAAGTTGCTCTTACTCCCTTCGGTTTTTTTTTCATCGAAAAAAAGAGTTTTCACGTTTAGCAAGGAGAGCTACGAGTTTTTCACGTTGTATTCGTTTGTTTGATTGATTCCCCTGTTACAGAAATGATCAGAAGATATCCTCAATCCTCAAAAAGAATAAAGATCAGAATCTTCCTCAATCCTAAAATAGAATAATGATCAGAAGAGGAAATCACGGCTGAGCTGCATCGATCTGCTGCTGATTCGCCGGGCAATCAGGCTCCGAGCCTCCGCCACATGCGTCGCACGATTCTTGCGTGACGCACAGATCACCCAACATGCCAACACCCGCGCAAATCCCTACAGAAAATCATTCCGCCGAACTGCGCCCGGATCGCGCCGCCAGAGGCACCGCTATAGCCGCTAGAAGGATGTGGGCTAGGACGTCTGTTTCAGGATTTTAGGTACAGGAATGGGCTGCGTCTATCGAATAATTAAAACCCATTTCGTCAGCGCTTCAATCTTATCCGGAGCAAACAATCCGGCCAATCCCCAAATGAGAGTACTCCCCACGGAAAATCACCAAAAGAACCGAAACAGAACAGGCAAGACACTGACGCGGGACCACTCACGATAAGAAGCAATATTAAGGCAGAACGAAAGTACGAACGGCCACCACCACCACCAGTCTATGGGGCTCCCTCCCGAGCCAGACCAGGAGGCAGCCACCGCCTGCTACGCTACAAGCGGCGACAGCAACCTTCCCCGGCAACATCACATACGGGGGAGCCTCAAATCTTGCGACAACAACCATAACACGGCTACGACATATCCAGACCACATTGCAATGTCATTGACAGTAGCAAACACTAGCTAGGAGCTTGCGGGGCGTCGCAAAGCCGGCTTTACTGCCCCTCGCTCGAGTCGTTCTTTGGAGCCTCCCTGATCTCCTCCTCCGCGGTGTCCTCCTGATAAAAAGCCAAGGAAGTCGGTTACGATTGTTCAAGGAGGATGATGGTTTTGAGGAACACGACAAGATAAAAGATGTGCTTGCGAAATCGACGATACCGTGATGTCAGAAGTCCAGAGGGTCAAGTTATCACGAAGGAGTTGCATGATCAAGGTGCTGTCCTTGTAGGATTCTTCGCTCAGGGTGTCCAGCTCCGAAATGGCCTCATCGAATGCCTGCAGAATGAATGGAACGTCATCATGATGCCAAGTTGCAAAGAATGTCTAAAGGAAGATCCAAAGCTTATAAATAAATAATTGAAATACAATTGGAGATGAAAGTCAAAATGGGCCAGAAGAATAAATAACTGAAATGAAATTAACGATGAAAAGTTACATATAAAAATGTAATAAAAAATACTCCATTTTGCATCAAAGAATCTAACTATTAAGGAAACTGGCACTTCATGACGAACTGTTGGCCAAGTTCTGCTACACCTATGGAAGATTATTTTATCCATTATTCTCTAGAAGACACTTCTACACCAAATATAAAGGCACTGAGAACAGGTCAAGTACAAGCTCGCATTCATGAGTCACAACAGCTAGTACAACAAACACTGGCGTTCAACCAATAATACGAGGGAGAGATACTTAATGATAATATAATCATACAAGATTAGGTGCACCAGTGACCACATGTTTCTTTTTGTGGGCAGTGGTCACACTCAACAACCACAGTTGACAAGCAATGCAAGGATTTTGTTGTCTCCAAGACCACAGCTAAAGATTATGGAAAAGTTCCATTGGCTCTAAAGTCAAATGACCACAAGCAAACTAATATGAATTGCCGTGTGCTCTGTCCATGATCACAAGCAAAAACTGGCCGCTAAAATATACAAGGGGATATCAAATTTACTAGTCCAGTAGATGAAAAATAGATTGCATTATTTCTCCAGTTGTTAAGTTTTATATATTTAAATAAGGTGTGGTACTTACACAATGGTGAACCGACCCTCAAATTTCTCATTGGTATCCCTTTTGCATGCTTAAAAATTGCTATATTATTGTGTGGTCAAAACAAACAGCACAATGAAGGTGGCAGTGTAAATATGACAAAAACAATGTGATTTGGATCAAATATTAGCCAAATTGCTGCTGGTCTATTTTTCATAAATCTGCATGTATTACGAGCCGCATTATTTGTAATTAATTTTACCAGTTCACCTTATCAAACATGAAAGCATCATTCAGAGAAAAATAATTTAATTACATGTATAGTGTATCTAGCACGTCACAAGCAAAAAAAGAACATCCGACATTCCAACTGACTCAGAAAAACTACCATGCACAGGCAAAAACAGAACATCTAACTGACTCAGAAAAACTAACCTGCTTTGCGAGATTGCAAGCACGATCAGGCGAGTTGAGGATCTCATAATAGAACACCGAGAAGTTCAGTGCCAGCCCAAGCCTAATCGGATGAGTTGGAGCCAGCTCAGCCAAAGCAATATCCTGAAAGATTATACAGCAAACCAAACTTTTTTAAACAAGAGAAGTAGAACATATTATATAATCCCAAAGAAACATTTAACAAATTCAGAAGAATGATTCTTCGCCAATAAATTGACATTGTTAAATATGAAAACAAGTGATCAACCTGAGCAGCCTTGTATGCCACCATGGTATTCTCAGCAGCATCCTTCCTCTCAGGCCCACTCTTGAATTCGGCAAGATATCTATTTATCACAGTTGCTTCAGCTAAATGAAAAATTACAATCCCATAATTAATGAAGAATCCCTACGGGCCATCATACCTGTAGTAGTCACCCTTCATCTTAAGATAGAAGACCTTGGACTCAGGGGCAGTGGAAGACGGGACAAGGTGGGTTTCGAGCAGCTTGAGGATGCCATCACAGATCTTGCTAAGCTCAGTCTCGATCTTGCCACGGTACTCCTTGATGAGCGTGACCCGGTCCTCGTTGCCACGGCTCTCCTCCTTCTGCTCAATGGAGGAGATGATGCGCCATGAGGCACGGCGGGCTCCAATCACATTCTTGTATGCAACAGAGAGCAGGTTGCGCTCCTCCACAGTGAGTTCCTCGGAGTCGACGGTCTTGGCCACCTTCTCCATGAACTCAACCATCTCCTCGTACCTCTCAGCCTGCTCGGCGAGCTTAGCCATGTACACATTCTCCTCACGGGAAAGCTCCGCTGGTGCCGTCATCTTCACAGTTCACAATTTCAATTTTTTCTGAATGCCAAATCTGCAGGATCAAAGAGAAAAACAACAGTCAGCTAACTGCTCGCCCCAAATCAATTTTTTCTCAATACTGATATGGATATGTACAAATACACAATTCTACAATGAGTAATCTATGATCCACGCACAAATACACATGTTGCCAGACAAAATTCCACAAGGAAAGCACTATTAAGCAAAAAAAAAAAGCAGCTGTAATTCTTTCAGATAGGCCCCAAATACCGAAAACAGGTTTGATTTTGAATTGTATACTGCACACTGGCACAAATAACAAGGCCAATTTTGCATACCACCGTGCCCCGCATATCCGAGCGAAATACAACCCCTGCAATACTGCAAAGCATCGGATCTAATCTGCCGTAATATATCCACACGAGGGGGAAAAACGAAGTAACGAAATTCACGCATGCAAAACACACACCAAACCCAGGCTTTGACGGGATCCGACGTGCGGCAAATCCTATCAAACCAGTCGCGGGTAGATCACAACGATCCTATAACAACACCATTCACTACGCACGGTAACAATTCCGTACGAAACAGCAGATTTAACCCGAGAATTCAGCGCAACAAATCCCGTCAGAACACCGCGGATCAGGGCGACGGGAGGGGATGGAGGGGCGGGGGTACCAGCGAAGATCTAGTCAAACGACGACGATAATCGGAGGAGAATTGAGGGATGCGGCGGTGAGATTTGATTTGAGGAGGAAACGGCTGGGTACCTGCGTCTGCGTGTGTCGCCGCTGGTCTCCTCGTCGCGCTTGGGCTTTCGAACTGGGGAGAGGAGGCGGCGCCCGGGGGGCCTAGAAAAGCAGCCCCCCGAGACCCCTGCGCCCAATGGGGCCCCGACGCGTGGCCCCGCCTGGCCCCACGGCGCAGCGGGACAACCGAGGGTTTGCGATGGGGACGACCACCGACGGGCTGCCCCACGCGTCAGCGGGCCCCGGGCGCGTCGTGCCGATAAGCTCGACCACCGCCGCGACAGCCTAGCGTCGTTGGACTGGATCGGCGCGGGAGGGAGGGATGGAAAGGCCTCTCCGTCGTCACGGGGTGCGTGGCTACCCCGCCGCCCCTGCCCGGTGGGTCCGGGTGACGCGCGTGAGGAGATTTCGGCGCGTTAACGGAGATTTGGGCGGGTGTGGAGCGCGGACGGACGGGCCGGGCGGCGGCGCGGGGCGTGGCGCTGACGGGGCCGCGGGGCCCGCGCGGCGGGGGGTGGGGTGGGGTTCACGTGGTGTGCGTGTGACGCCCGCAGGCGACGCGGGGCGGCGGCGGTGCGTTCGGCGCCTCGGGTTGGTGACTTGGCTCGGGCGACGCCAACGACCAGCCAGCCAGCCGGCCGGCCGCCCACCTGCTCCATTCAATTCGATTTTCTTCGCCCGCCTGGGAGGGAAGAAAATGCGGCTGCGTTTCCTGTGGGCGCGCTGGTAGTGGATTAGCTGTCTCCCTCCCCGCCGACGCGGACGAAGACATACTTGATTCGCAGAAAATTCAGTTCAGTTTCGGCGACTGACAGAGAGCGTCAGATCCAATGAGATGCCTGGCAGGGGTAACCTTTTTTTTGGGAAATACCATGAGTTTGTTAATTTGACGGCGACATACATGATCAATCCTTTGACGCAGCCATGTTTTTTAACAGGTATAATCTACTAGTGTCAAAAACGCTCTTATATTATAGAACGTAGGGAATACTTGGCAAACGTTATAGCTCCATGGCATCTCCAACGGTGCTCATCGAATGGACACTCGCAAATGTCCTGCCATCGGCGAACCAACATGTGGTTGGATGGTTTACAGGGACAGTGGTATCCACAGCCCATCAGGGTTCAAGTTCTGGTGCTTACACTATTCTTGAATTTATTTCAGGATTTCCGGCGATGCGCTTTTAGTGGGAGAAGATGTTCCCGTGGATGACGAAACGCTGACTTCGTAAATCTCAAGATAATATGTCGGCTCAATCTCTCGGAGGTGCTCATATGAGTAGGGGTGTGTGTGTGCGCGTTCATAGGGAGTGTGTGTATGCGCGTATGTATGAGCGCTTGCGTTTATACTGTGTTTAAAAAAATGTCTCCTTGGCCATTTGAACAACAATCGTCGTTCGGGAAGCGGTTCAGGGAGTCGGGCCAACCGCCACGACATCTGTCTCAAGCGGCGGCAGTGCACCCGTGCATCTGCACCTTCTCCTCTTCGCAGAGCGTGCACTACCGCTTCGACTCGATGACCCCGAGCTGGAAGATGTCGTCATTGATTTGTCGACGAGGTATGGGTCTGATCTCAAGACTAATGGGTCAAAAAATGGGATATCCTCTTCTTTGGCTACACCAACTAATGTAGTAGATTGCGTTTCGGAAGACACTTTCTCCATTTTGTCAGTACTGGTAACAATGGATCTTGACCTCGTTTCTTTTTCCTGTTATTTGACTTCTTGGAATGGAATTCTTCTCATGATAGTCACACAAAGCCAAGGAGCAGAGGATGGATCCTAAAGGATCTCTTTTTCTTCTATTATAAGTTTTGATTACACACGGTGGGCGTTGGTCTCCTTGGTGGTCTTGGACTCGTCCAGGGCCAACGTCGCCACGAGATCTTCGTCGGTGAGGACCCAGGATGGCACCACCAGGGTCTTGTGAAAGGAGGTTGATCATCGATGTCGCTGCCACTTCATCTAGGTAAGAGCTTTTAAGCTCGTAGAGGAGGAGGGGGAGGTGTCGCGGGACCCGTCACCCTAGAGGTGGTACTCTGGGAGGGTGCACGACTACGATGGGGACAACTGTTGCTCCTACTTCATGGTGGTCAGGCACCACTGGAAAAAGGGCTGGCAACACGGCGGGGACAACAACCGCGCATGCTTCATGGTAGTCAGGTGCCAGTAGGAGCCGGGCTGGCGACGTGACGAGGACACTAGCCGCTCCTACTTTGACGCGGCGTCTGATCTCGTGGTCTCTTGGCGGGGAGGATGACACTTGGGCCAATGCATCAAGGAGTGACGTGTGGATCCCGACCGCCAACTACTCCTTGAGGGAGTCCTGGATTAAGGGGTCATTAGGTATCCGACCCGTGTATCATGGGCCGGACTGATGGGCCGTGAAGATAAAGAGTAGAAGGCCTCCCCCCGTGTCCGGATGGGACTCTCCTTTGCGTGGGTGGCAAGATTGGCGTCCGGATGAATAGCTTCCTTCTTCTGTAAACCGACTCTGTACAACCCTGGGCCCCTCCAGTGTCTTTATAAACCAGAGGGTTTAGTCTGTAGAGGCTATTAGAATTCATATTGGCTAGACGACTAGGATTTAGCCATTACGATCTCGAGGTAGATCAACTCTTGTAACCCATATACTAATCAAAGTCAATCAAGCAGGAAGTAGGGTTTTACCTCCATCAAGAGGGCCCGAATGATGGGGTTATGTAGCTAGGGTAGGGTCATGGACCTGTTCCAAGTAACTTACCCTAGGACGTCCCTAGAAGAGGTCGCCTTCCAGTCGACCAACGAGGATTCACTCGACTGGCCTGAAGGACTCGACCACGAAGACTCACTCGACCACCAGGAGGTCAAGAGGCACTCTGCACCGCAACGGCCTGTAATTAAGTAGACTTTATGATAGTAAAGGCACTTTATGTGGGGCGTTACCAGTAACGCCCCAGACTTAACTCACCTTAAACCCTCTCCTACGTGGGCTGGCTGGGGTCCTGGCGCACTCTATATAAGCCACCCCCCTCCACAGGCAGAAGGGGTCGGCACCTTGTAATCCATACATTCATAATCCATTCGACCGCCTCCGGGCTCCGAGACGTAGGGCTGTTACTTCTTCCGAGAAGGGCCTGAACTCGTACATCCTTTGTGCTTACAACCTCTCCATAGCTAAGACCTTGCCTCTCCATACCTACCCCCCACTCTACTGTCAGGCTTAGAACCACGACAGTTGGCGCCCACCGTGGGGCAGGTGTTTTAGCGATTTTGTGGAGAAGTTGCGATTCTTCCGAGTATTTTCATCATGGTGTCTGCTGGAGTTTTGATCGAGGGTCAAGAGATCCGTCTCGGCACTCTCACCCTCATCGCCGACGACTCCGCATGGCTCCAGGAGGCTCCACTCGACGTAGATGCGCTCCCCGTCCGCGGTGCGACGCATTTTCGCGCATGTGTCCGCGGCGTTCTGCTGCGGCAACCATCGACCCAGTATCGGTCGGCTCCTCCGTCTTCCACCCTCCCGGTCTCCCGCCAGCGCAAGCGCTCAGGCCGGTCGAGGCTTCAGCGATGGGTGAGTCACGCGGTGGCTCGCCAGTCGACCACTACACAAGTTGCGGCAATCGAGCCCAACGAATCTCTCTACGGCTTGTTCGATCAGTCGACTGGCTCCGGAGAGACTGCATCCGAGTGCGGAAGCAGTGATCCAGCGGCGGAAATCTTGATGGTCGACGGGCCCCACAGCCCTCCTGGCTTCGCCCGCGGTGGTGGAGCAGGCGACGGCGGTGACCCTGCTCGAGGCTACGAAGAGTACCAGCCCGAGCCACTCGACTCTCTGCAAAGAGAAGAGCTTCGCCGCAGGAACGAGGATCCCCTGCGTATTCCCATCGCAGGAGAAACCCCCGAGGCTCGTGCCTTGGAGGAGGCGCGTCTGGCCAATTTGGCCGAGCGCACTCGACTGGAGAACCTTCAGCGAGCACTCGACGAGCGCGCGCGGCAATGAGTTCCCGACACCAGTCGACGTCAACTCTTCCCGCCGACTCAGGTATATCGAACCCCAATTCAGAATTTAGCAGCTGCGACCCATATAGCAGAGTCCATCCAGCCTTCGCGGTCAGAAGCTGGCAGAGGTTTGCTGCAGATCAGGGATCTGCTCCGGGCAGCAGGAGATCAGAATTCAGCCGTGTCTCAGTCGCGCAACAGAATTCACAGTCGATCTGTCACTGTGAATACGGTTCAGTCGGCTCACAGCCCCAGATCGCCTCCGCGGCGCGAAGGGCGTGAG